AGCAAGCACCCCTTTTCCCTCTAAATAGCCAAAAATGCATAAAACACAAGAAGGCCCCTGGGTGCATCTCACTGTGTGCATCCCTCCTGGGTGGCCACCCGGTTTAAGGTCTTCTGAGCAGGGGACCCTGGAATGCTGCCCCCCACACCCTCACAAGCCCTCTCGGTGCTGGCCTGTTCCCCCTTACCCCACCCCCAGGTCCACCTGCAAGCCAAGTTCATCTCCCCCTTAATTAGAAAGCTACCGACACCCCCCACCCGCCTCTGCCGTGAAGAATTTCCTGACCAGGGAGCCAACAAGTAGCAACTTCTCCTTGTGCACTCTGCCTTGCTCAGCCTCCTGGGGGCCCTGCTCGGCCTGCAGATTCATGCAGACCCCTGCACAGTGGAAGCTGTAACCCCAGGACTTGCGCGACACCAGGCACGGGGATTTCTACCTGGGTGACACTTGCCTTTCTGAAGCTCTCACAGGGAGTTTGGCCATGGCCGCAGGGCTTTATCCCCAGCACAGCCTACAAAGTGGTGCCTATTCATGAGGAACCTGAGACACAGAGCCACAGGTGGTCATGCTACACAGCCCTCCTGAAGGTGGGAGAGGCCAGCGCTGCGGCATAGTGGGCTAAGCCTCCGCCTGCAGCACCAGCATCCCATAGGGGTGCTGGTTCTAGTCCTGGCTGCTCCACTTCCAAGCCATCTGCTGGTGATGGCCTGGGAAAGCTGTAAGTGTGCGGCCCCCTGCAACCACGTGGAAAGACTTGGAGGAACCTCCAGGCTCATGGCTTTTGACTGCCCCAGCTCCAGCCATTGCAGCCATTTGGGGAGTGAACCAAAGGATGGAAGACGTCTCTTTCTCTTTTCTCTCTCTCTCTCTCTCCCCTTCTCTCTGTCTCTCAAATAAAGAAATGAATAAGTAAAACTTTAGAAAAGTAAATAAAAACTTTAAAAAAAGAAAAGTGGGAGGGCCACCTGCCACTTGGCTCAATGATCCCCAACCCCGGTGGTCAGGGGGTCCTTCTGTCACTTCCTACAGCCGTCCCGACCCCTTCCTTGCCAGCAGACCCTCAGCTATCACTTCTCGCCACCGTCAGGAGCCCCACCTCTGTGGCAGAACTCACCACTTCCTCTCTGCAGGCGGCTGCAAACAGATAACCGCGCCTGTCACAAAGGAGCCCCTGGCTTGGGCCGCCACACCCCTCCCTTGTACAGGTGCTGGCTACTCCAAGGCACCCCTGGGAGCTGGGAAGAAGGCCTCACTGTTACAGAGCCAGAACCTGCATTTCAGTGCCACCCCCGGGGAGGGAGTGTCTGTAGGTACACACCGGTCTCGAGAGTTCCAAGACACCCCTAGTCTGACTTTATGATATGAAAGGCACTAGTACCTCATCATGCAAAGGTCCTGACTTCAACATCAAGATCTGTTCTCTCTCCGTATCCCTTCCGCATGCCCCTACTGCTGTGTCTATCCAACTCATGTGCATGGACCCACCTTTATGCTTTTAAGGTAGTGATGAACAGGAAAAATGAAGAGGCAGATAGCAAGACACACAATTGCAATGGGAATGCTTGCTGTTTTGTGTACAGCTTGTACTTCGTCTGGTTCCTAGGCTGGAATTTCTGTTCTTGTTGGTGTACAGCTCGCATGTTTAGGTGCAGGCCCTTCCTAAGGTCTACACCCAGCAGGGTTATGGCCCTCAGGCCACAGAACTGGAAAGGAGACTATGCCTGTGAGAGCAGGTCACGAATTTCTGTTCATGGAAGGAAGTCTAGCAACAAAGATGCTTCTGGCAGAAAGGAGGAGAACTAACATCTGCAGGGGCACCCATTTCATTCAGGGCAGCACAGCTCCCTCCCACAAAGCATCAGGAACCCCACCTCCCCTCTTGTCCTCCTGCCACTGCCTCTCCACAGCAAGATGGCACCTGCAGCTTTTGCATCATGACCTGACACCTTACGGGACAGAGATCCTGCTGGGGCCTCTGGGGTCACACCCAGCATCCCCCAGCCCACTGTGGCTCAAAGACTGTGCAGGAGATGCAGCTGGACCTGGTCTGCAGATGTTCAGCCCAGGGCAGCTGAGAGCAATAGGACACTGCTGTCCAGAGTTAACACAGAGCGGCCAGGAGCAGCAGGAAGGTGATGAGAATTGGTGCGGAGTTTTTTCCTCCTCTCCTGGACTCCAGCCTTACTCAAAATCACCCAAGAAACACAGGTGGAGAGGCCCTTGCCTTCACTCGCCAGACCACAGATGCAAAAAGGCCTTCAGGCACCAGGCCTGAATCCTGATGCAAATGTGGACTGACTGCTTTTCTAAAACGATTGCGCCAAGACTGAGACAGCCAGGCAGACAGTCTTTCCAAGTCAACACGACTGCCCCAAGAATTAGCCAAGGCTCGTGCTCATCAGCTCCCAAGGCTACCCCTACCCTTGGGGGAGAAAGCCAGCTGAAAAAGCCATGTCTTCCAACGAAACTTTTTTTTTTAAGAAACCAAACTAGCTGTTGAAAATTGAAAGATAGAGATTTGTGCGGTGAAGTGTGTTCAATCACAATGGCAAATAATCACTCATTTCAAACAACATTAATGTATGTTACAGCATAAAACCAAACTCATGAGGTAGCTTCCCAATACCGGCATCAGCGAAGGAGATATCTGTAACTTGTACTTGAATTTCTTAGCAGACTACATTAAGTACTCTGAATTCTTACAGTAAATTTATTTTTATAGAGAGGCATAGTAAATAAAAGTTGACAAGGAACAAGGACAGATATTTGTACACTGTTTTAACAAATGGGGCAATCTATTTTGTACTTGTTCCTCATTATGTCACTATGCTCTTATCCCACAATCCCCTTGATTTATGATTGTTTTAAGAATTACATACAGAGACTTGTTACTTAAAGGATATTTATTTTCTAAGTAAAAAGCAAAACATAACAACATGCAAATTCTTCTTAAGCAAAAATCAACCTTTTCAAGAACTATTTAATGAAATGATTGCTAGTATTAAATTTTCAACTCTCTGTCCAATTTTAACCCCTCAGATTTGAAAGTCAAAACAACAAAAATGAACATTTCTGGGGCAAAGCATCTGGCCTGGTGGTTAAGTGACCAGTTGAGATGCCCATGTCCCATATCACAGTGCCTGGGTTCAATTCCCACCACTGGTCCCCAACTCCAGCTTCCCACGTATGCAGATCCTGGGCAGGAGTCAAATGAACAGCTCAGTGGGAAACCCGGTTTGAGTCCCCAGCTTCTGGCTTCAGCCCCCTGCCAGGAGCCACTGTGGACGTTTGGGGAGTGAACCAAGGTGCTTGCTGTCTCTGTCTCTCAAATGAATCATTTTTTTAAATATGTCTTAATTAGCATTTCTAAAAGGGTGTCTTTTCTCTTCCCACAACTCCCTAACCCTGATAGAGAAGACTGACCTTAAACTCGATCACGGTCAAAACACTGAAATTAACAAACGCACAACCCATTTCTGAAGAACAAAAAAACATGTATATCCCAAACAGGCTACCTTTGAAACACAAGTGTCACGTGTGTTGAATAAGGCGCCACCTTCGGCACGGGCCAGCCACACAGGAGAACTTACAGGTCTGCCTGGGAGAGCAACACCCACTTCAGACCCTCAGATCACCACAAAGAGAAATTTCTCCTGTCCCCTGGTGCCAGCAGCACACCTGAGATTCAAAGCCGGTGCCGGTGAGAAGCCACTTACCTGGCCAAGCCTTGCAGCGCTTTCACAAACACAAGTCATCCTCAGGATCTTTTTTTTTTTTTTTTCACTTTTAATGAAATAGACAAGAGTAAGAAACATCAGCAAGCACCACTGTGGGCAGTGAAACTGAGTCCCCTCTCAGGGAAGCCTCCAGTCTGGCAGCAGCGTGCGTGCCTGCGTGTGTGCCTGACCACAGTGTGAATTCAGTTCTCGCTGCAGACTGTGACAAGCAAAGTCTGGGTGCCACCAACGCTGCTCCTGGGAACACACCCGTGTGTGGGCGGCCCCATCCCTAACGGTGCTGGGAAGGGCCACCCCAGCCTGGGGCTTCTGGCACCCCATGTGGATGGCATGGGCAGGCGCCATGGGCCTGGTGCTCCCACATGAGGAGTGGGGTGACCTCACCAGGGCAAGGCTTGGGGCGGCCCCTCCCAAATAAAACCACAGACACCAGGGATGCTCTTTTTTTTTTTTTTTTTTTTTTAAGCAAACCTACACTGCTTTGTAAACTTTGTGAACTCAAAGTGAAGATGTGGCCAGTGCAGATCAGGCAACCATTCTCAACAACAGGACAGGACAGGTAGGCAGCTATGGGTGACAGGGAGCTGAAGCCTTACCCCGTCTGTCAGGGCACTCAGTAGCACACAACATTCTGACACTCTGATTTCCACAAGACCAGATCATCTCAAAGCTAGAAATGTCAAAACTATCCATGCACAGTATGATCTGTACTAAAGGAACAAAAATGTACGACATATTTGTACCAAATACAACCAACCCCAAACTGAGGTGCCAGGGCAAATTTCAGCAGAAGCTTGAAATAACTGACTGTCCCATCCACCTGCCAAAATATTACTATGTAGTTCAAACACATCCCTCCTCTAAAATATCCTCCTGTTTATTAGTGATTATAAAAATATCACTCTATAAATATTTGTTGAGCACTATTTCAGGTACTACAAACATAACAACGAATAAAAAAAGTGCAATGTTGAGTGATTTCTTTCTGTGCAAATGCTTCATTTAGATAACACTGAATATGGAAAACTGCACCCAGACTTTTTTTTTTTTTTTTTACTTTTAACATTAAAGCTTTTTCCCATAAGGTCAAATCTTGGAAAACACCATTTTTACTGCCTACATAATATTCTAACGTGTTGTAATTTACTGAAAGACATTTCAAAAAAAAATCACAGAAAGATGTAATTTAGTAAGAACATGTTAGTCCTAAACGTAGACTCGTACCCAAAAAAGGGAGGGCAACCAAAGCAAACACAAGCTTACCGATCTCTCAGAGCCCCGGATGCTGCTCCAGAGTGAGTGATGCTCATTCACCCCCAAGGCCTGGCCACTCCAAGGTCTAATTTGTGGATCTCCCTTTATAAACCCCACTCCCTCTTTGATCAAGGAGGACATTGTCTGTGCAGAACAATACGTTTTCATTTCAATTTCCCTTCTTTTCAGGAAAGGAAATGTTTGCACTTCAAAGGGTTCCTTTGAAAAGTGGCCCCTGGTCCTGGCCCATCCAGGTTAGGAGTGACTGGGCTCAGCAGGGTGCACGGAGTCTGGGCAGCTGCCCACCCAAGTCCCTCTCAAGGCCAACTCCTTCAAGGGGAGGGTCTGGGACAGGAGGAGAAAAACAAACACATGGAAAAATACTTGAGGTTTTTGATCGTGACCTTCAGAAGCCCTTTTCCAGACACAGAGTGGACTTACAACGCAGGGAAACTGAGGCTGAGCAGACAGGGAAGGTGAACTAGAGGCTTCCAAGAACAAAATCATTCCAGAAACCAGACTCACGTGGCGAAGCAGGCCTGGAAGGAGGGGAGACGCTCTGTTGACAGCTGGTAGTGACAAAGAGGACAACGGTGCCCATGGATGAAACACAGAAGCCAGAACCCAGCTGCACTGCGGGCGGAGGCTCTGAAAGCTTCCCCCGGGATCTTCTGAGCAGCAGCGCCCACCGTGGGCGGCAAAGAGCAAACCTTGCAGTTCAGAAGGGGGCCCTGGATTTCTCTCCCGGCCAAAGCCTTCCGCCAGAGGCAAGTCGACTGATCCCCTGGGGTAGTCAAGAGATGCCCTCCATCGGGCCCCATGCCCATCTCTAACCTCTGCCAAGTCCTGGAAGCCAGGGGCATGGAACAGACAAGAGAGGACCTGCAGCATTTCAAGTCTGGAACAAGTTCTGGGTTTGAGGAACTTCCCTTCCCCGCCCAGAGGATACGCATGGCCACAGCAGCTCTAAGGGTGAAGTCCACTGCTGGGCATGAAAGACAGCACGCTCCAGGCAGGGCACTCACCCAACACTCAACCCCAGGGCTGAGCCACAGGCTCCTGATGGCTGCGCGGGAGGAAAAGGCACCGCAGGTCTGGTGGCCAGGCCACCGGGGCTGAAGGACTCTTCCTCCCGCTTCCTGCAACTCAGAAGTCTACCTGCCCAGCAGCTGCAGGCACCAAGCCTCCGTGCCAGGAACAGCAGTGGTTTTGCTCTTCTCCACCTTCCACTTTTTGCAAGTTCCCACATTTTTCCCAATCAGCATTCTAATTTTTTAGAAACACTTTTTCTTAAAGAGGCTTAGGAGGTAGAAAATGAAACTAGAGCTCCTTAGAAATATCCCTGCCTTAGGCCGGTGCTGCAGCTCACTAGGCTAATCCTCCACCTGTGGCACCGGCACACCGGGTTCTAGTCCCGGTTGGGGTGCCGGATTCTGTCCCGGTTGCCCCTCTTCCAGGCCAGCTCTCTGCTGTGGCCAGGGAGTGCAGTGGAGGATGGCCCAAGTGCTTGGGCCCTGCACCCCATGGGAGACCAGGAGAAGTACCTGGCTCCTGCCTTTGGATAGGCGCGGTGCACCGGCCGTAGCACGCCAGCCGCGGCAGTCATTGGAGGGTGAACCAACAGCAAAGGAAGACCTTTCTGTCTGTC